CGTCCCCCAACGGGCTTAGTTTAAAGCCCGGTGGAGTAGGTCAGCCAGTCTGGCTGAGATGAGCCTCCTCCCTAGGGGAGAGAGGTGGAGGCCATCTTCAAATTTGGTTTGAAGCAATCACTTTTTCAAATGGTATTAAATAGCATCAGTGGGAAAAAACTGAGGAACAAGTGGAAGAGAGCTAAGGAGATTTTTTTTGTGGGGGTTTAAGTGGTTAATACTGAGAGCATGGAGTTTTCCCAAAACATTTAGCAGTGACCCAACTCTGTTCCTTTGAAACCAATGGTTAAAACTCCCACTGATTTCAAAGGGAACAGGAGTGGGAGAACACTGAACATTTTGAAAGCTCCACCTTCAGGCATACAAAATCTTTCTTATCCCTTGTTAATAATGTTCATATTTGGAACCCTAAATTATACTGTTGGATTTCAACGGAAGATTGCTCCATTAATAGCCAGGTAAGATAAAATGCAAGCCAAAAGTAATAATTGCTTTAACATTCTGTGATAATTATGAAATCAGAAATAAACTTACTGTGCGACCAAGCTGTGTGGAGACTTGGTTTCTTCCCCTGCATTCCAAGGCCAGATCTTACTAAAAAGGGTCTCTGCCATAGTAACAAAAGGATGAGAGACACTCTCAAAGACATTCTCAAGATCTGTTCTGTGAACAGCGGAAGCTGCGTCAAAGTCCAGTTTCAACAAATTTAGCAGATCTGAAGAGTTCAGATTCTCAAGTACATAGTGACTGACTTCTATTATTCCTGGAGCTGACTCATTGTTGCCAAGATCACTTTTCATTATTTCCAACAGCTTCACATACGCAGCCACCTCTGTCAAGTTCCATTTGGTGCTCAGCCAGTTGTTAACCACATTCCAGACTCTTGAAAAATGACTCCATTCAGAGAGATTGGCAGCATCTTGGAGCAGCTGGGGCAGCTCATACATACTGGACATCCGCTGGACATCTTCCTGTCCATCACCGAAAAGCATAAACAACGTTTTCCAGTTCACCGAGCTGCCAGAGAAATTTAATGAATCTGCGTAGGTTTCATTCAAAATAAATGGAATCAAAATGTTTAATGGATAGGAATGGAACACACTATCCACCATGCTCTGAGTGATTGGTATTTGACAGGACTCATTATTCTGGGATAGGTCCCTAGAGAGGACTGTCAGAGTTTCATGCTTTTCCTGTATCCAAGAATTCCTCGAGTCAGAGAGACTGTTTAATTGTGAAAGAAAACCCAAAGAAAACTGCAATGACTGGATGACACAGGATAGCTCATGGGAAAAATACGCACTATTGTTTTGATAGATGTTAGCAAATTCTGGGGTCAGATCTAGGGTATTCACTGCAAGCTGAAACAATTCAGAAAATGTGGTTCTGTTCTTAGTGTCCATGGAAGTAAATAGGAGTTTGCAGTGGCTTCTTGTTAAGGACTCACTAACTGTGACATTTTCAAACATTACCTGAAGCATTAGATGTAGAATATCTTGAGCAGAGCAGTTCTGTAGCTTTTTATTACTAGTGTAACCTTCTCTGAGGAAAGGGCTCAAGGCTAAATGCAAGAGCTTCCACACTTCTGTTTCTAATGAAGTATTGTGCTGCAAGTAAGTCTGGTTATGTTCCTTTGGAAGTAGCAGATGTGAGAAATTATAGACTGCATCAATTTTTTCTTTATTGGTTGCTTCTTCCAAACTGGTGTCATGAAGGATTTTCACTCCTGCCTTCAATATTTCAGACAATCTTTGGGTGGATTTCCTGGCAACATTCATGAATCGAGAAGTAGTTTCTAATTCAGTAATATTAAGTATTTGCTGGAAATCTTTTAACGTAAGCATACTCTTTTGTAAGGCTTGTAAATATGTTGAGGCTGTAGGTGCTTTGGAGTCTTCTCCATCGTTCCCTTGGAATATGTGAGATATAACTTCAATTAACTGCTCTAGTTCTTTATTGAAAGGCAGACTGGAGCCATTTTTCTTTGAATTTATTTGGTTATGTAACATGTCTAGGAGTGGCTCATAAGCAAGATTGTGTGTGCTATTCCACTCCATGGGCCATAGTGTTTCAGCAATGTGCCAATACATCTTCAGCTCATTCCACTCAGCTCCATCAGTTGAATTTTGGATATTTTTCATCAGTTCAGACAGAGAAGAGATCAAGAGGTAATGGTTACTTCTGTTCACCTTTTCCATGTGAGCAAAGAGTTTCTGGAAGTCTAAGAAGTGCTTTGTAAAATTTTCAGACAGTGGAGATGTCAGCATAAAATCTGAAAAAAGTGATGGGATTTCTTGTGTTGCATTAAAATAGTTGTTTGTATCTCCAGAGAATGGTTGGATTGCAAGAGATGTCAACATTTTGATACTGTCCCATGTTTTCTCTATATTGATAGTGGTTTTATTTAAAAGGAGTTGATTCCAAATCACGGTAGCTAAATTTAAAACAATGCGAGCTTCCTCCCAATTATAGGAAAGTGTTTCTGGGACAAACCGTTTAAATCTCTCCAAGTCAGGTGTGTTGTTTCTGGCAGAAGTTATGTTGAGGAAGAGTTTTACTGAATTAAATATGTTTTCTAAATCTGAAGACTCAATTCTGTCACTAGCGTTGTGAAGGAACTGATACGTTTCTGTTTTTCTGGGAACTAATCCAATATCAACAACAATTAGAGCTTTTTTCATTGTTTTCAGGAGTTTCACATACTCATCCACTTCTGTCAGGTTCCATTTGGTGGTCAACACATTGCCAGTGGCATTCCACACTCTTGAGAAATGTCTCCATTCAGACTGATGGGAGACAAGTTGGACCATCTGTGATAGTTCATACATACTGGAGTTCCATTGGGAAACAGTTGACAATAGATTGGATAACATAGACAGCTTATGCCAGTCCACTGAGCTGCCAGAGAAATTTAATGAATCTGTGTAGGTTTCATTCAGAATAAATGGGATCAAAATGCTTAGAGGATAGGAATGGAACACACTATTCACCATGCTCTGGGGGACTGGTATTTGGCAGGATTCATTATTCTGGGGAAGCTCTCTAGAGAAGTCTGTCAGAGTTTCATGCTTTTTCTGTATCCAGGAATTCCCTGAGTCAAAGAGAGTGTTTAATTGTGAAAGAAAACCGAAAGAAACCTGTAATGACTGGATGACACATGATAGCTCGCGAGAAAAATATTCACTATTGTTTTGGTAGACGTTAGCAAATTCTGGAGTCAGATCTAGGGTATTCACTGCAAGCTGAAACAATTCAGAAAATGTTTGGTTTTGCACGGTTCTGTTCTTAGTGTCCATGGACGTAAACAGAAGTTTGCAGTGGCTTCTTGTTAAGGACTCACTAAGCGTGGCATTTTCAAACACCATCTGAAGCGTTAAGTGTAGAATATCATGAGCAGAGCAGTTCTGTAGCTTTTTATTATCATTGTAACTTTCCCTGAGGAAAGGATTCAAGGCTAAAAGCAAGAGCTTCAAGACTTCTGTTTCAAGGGAAGTACTGTGCTGCAAGTAAGTTTGGTTATTTTCCTTTGGAAGAAGCAGACGTGAGAAATTATAGACTGCATCAATTTTTTCTTTAATGGCTGCTTCGCCCAATCTGGTGTCATAAAGGATATTCATTCCTACCATTACTATTTCAGACAGTCTTTGGGTAGATCTATTGTCAACATTTTTGAGTCGATCAGTAGTATAAAATGTACTGGTATTAAACATCTGGAATTCTTTTAATAAGTCCAGGGTCTCTTGTATGGCTTGTATGACCATTGAAATGTTAGCCATTCTGAAGTCTTTCCCACCATACTCTTGTAATATGAGTGTTGCAGAGTCTATCAGTTTTTCCAATTCTCTATTGAATATAATACCTGAATCATTTTTCAGTGTGTAAAAATGATTGTATGACATATTTAAAAGCTGCCCATAGGCAATGATAGCTACGTTGTACCAATTGATGGTCCTTAGTTGTTCAAAACTACGCCAATAGGTGTTGAATTCTTTCCAACGAGCTTCACCAGCAGAATCTTCAATTTTCTGCATAAATTCAAATGCTAAGTTCATGATCTGTTGGTGAGTTGTGGTTGTATTTTCCACGATATCAAAGAGTTCCTGAATGGCTAAGAGCTGGTCTGGATAGTTCTGATTGGTAGTAGGTTTAAGTATATAATCTGAAAACAAAGATGGGATTCCTTCCATTCTCTTGATAAAAGTTTTTACATCTTCAGGTAATGATGGAAGTGAATCAAATATCAGCATTTTGATAGAATCCCACATCTTCCTTGTATCATTAGTCCTATTTAAAAATACTAAATACTGAATCCCGGTCACTATTTTTAAAGCACTTTGGATTTCTTTCCAGTGGGTTGTTATATTGTCAATGGAAGTGCCCTTAAAATCTTCCTGAAGCAGCACTGATATGAACTTATAGACTTCCTTACTTAATGGTTTTCTTAGTTTATAGTGCATATTCATTTCCAGCTTCAGAATTTGAGACAATCTCTGTACAGTTTCGTTCTCAAAGGCTCTGAACAAATTTAAGTTTTCAAAATCACTTTTATTAACATTTTCTTGAAAGCTTTTTAAAAAGCAAAGATATTTTTTTATGTCTTCTAAATTCTTTGATGTGATGTCCCTTTTGGAGTCTTTTACATCAGAGGCTGCTAATTTTATTTTTCTAAAAAAAAAAATGTATTTTAGAAAAAAATTAATCAATGTAAGTGAAAATATAAATTAAGTATAGAGAGAAAGCACATGTCAAAATATTTCATCATGATCTGTGGCTCTGTAGACCCTTTCTTACCTCAGAATTTCTCCAAACTGAGATGACAAACTGTAGTTGTATGTCCAGTCATTGACAAGATTATTAATGTCAGTCATTAGAAAACTGTTATTTTTACCTACAGTGGAAATAAAAGGGTATTTTTGTTAGTCTAGACAGTAGCTCTCAACCTTTTTAAAATCAAGGTATCCCTCGAGGCACCTCTTAAAAATTCCAGCTTTTAATATTCACTTATATTTTGACTATGCAAAAAATAATAAAGTAATTTTTCTGTTGCAAAGAACTCAGAAAGATCACAACAGGTCAGAAAGTTTCTAGCACTATGGATTTCTATTGGAAATCTTTGGTTACCTGTAGACATGCAGGGACGCTGCTCCGATATGTTGTAACTACAGTGCATTGTAGCAGACTTGATTAATCGAGACTGTTGGAGTGTGCTAATTAGCACACTCCAGCAGCTTCTGTGTTACATGAATCAGGGTCCTTGCACTTCTAAATGGTGGTGGGGGTGCTTTAACTAAAGCTCATCAAATGATACACAAGATGATGTGGGTGCTTTAATTAAAGCAGTTCTTGGAGCCACTCTTATTAAATGTCCATTCCCCACCCCAGAGCACATGTAAAAATGCCATTTGGGTTTGTCTTGTGAATCATGTTTGTACACCTAGCAGCTTTTATATTGGCTAGGGACAGAAATAACATAAACCGGTATAAGTGATCAGAAATTGGTTCAAATCTGTAACACAACAGAAGTTGTGTACAAAAGTTGCTTTCAAAATGGTTGAAACCAGTTTAAGATAAACTTGGATGGATGTAGTGCCAGACTTAACTAATTCAGTTTAAATTGGTTTATTGAACTTCTGTTCCAGATTCCCTCCAGATTCAAGTTAACTCGCAGTCCCCTAGCATCCCAGGATGCTTTGCACCTCCCCCACAAACCAGCCCCTCATGGAGAGACAGGCTAGCCTTGGCCCAAGCTGTCTTCTCCAGCCAAGCAAAAAGGCATACTATAGTCCCCTCTGGCTTCTAGCCTGGGCCACTGCAGGCATGTGGCTACATTCTAGAATCAAAAGTGAATGTCTGTGCACTTGCTTGATCAGTTCAATCTATGCAGTTTAGATTAGACTGCAAAGATTGAATCGATTCAGCCTCAGGTTTTTTGACGGTCCATACTTAGCCATTATATGGCATCCTGTGGAAAGAATCTTAAGGCACCCCAAGATGCTGTGGCACGCTGGTTGAGAATCATTGGTTTAGTAAATGAACTGAAAACTATGGCCATGTTTGCAAAATAAAGCTAGGCTCCTAGACCCTATTTTTCCCCCATGTGAGATTTAGCTTGGTGCCGCTAACAGCCTACTGAAAGCAGTTCTCCATTAGTATCCTACTAACAGTAACAAAACATCACGGTGGCTGCAAGGTCAATTTTTTTGTGTTCAACCATAAATCTGCTTCTGTCTCTAATCAAGTCCCTTTCCATGCCCTCTGCTGTTTCAGGAAATACCAACCTCAACCTTGCTCTCTGTTCAACCCAACAACTGCTCCCATACTTTCTCCCCACCTTGCATACCTTAGATATAAAATGCCACCCCTATTCTAATCCACTTCCTCCTTACTTTCTCATGTAATTTATACTGAACCAGTAGTTAGAAAACTGCTCATGGCTTCATAAAGGGGCCTTTTAGGAATAGAATATATACAGTATATACATATTTGGTTTCATAGTTGGTAGGGTCAGAAGGGACCTGAGCAGATCATCAAGTCCGACCCCCTGCCATGGGCAGGGAAGAATGCTGGGGTCAAATGACCCCAGCAAGGTGATTATCTAGCCTCCTTTTGAAGACCCCCAGGGTAGGAGCAAGCACCACTTCCTTTGGAAGTTGGTTCTAGATCCTAGCCACCCTAACTGTGAAGTAGTGCTTTCTGATGTCCAGACTGAACCTCCTCTCAGTCAACTTATGGCCATTATTCCTTGTTACTCCTGGTAGTGGACAGGGGAACAGGGTCTCTCCCATTCCCCGCTGGTCCCCCCTGGTAAGTTTATAGATGGCCACTAGATCCCTTCTCAGCCTTCTCTTGTGGAGGCTGAACAGGTTCAGGTCCTGTGGCCTCCCCTCATAGGGCCTGCCCTGCTGCCCCCAATCATGTGAGTGGCCCTCCTTTGGACCCTCTCAATGCTGTCCACATCCCTCCTGAAGTGCGGTGCCCAGAACTGGACACAGTATTCCAACTGTGGCCTGACCAATGTCGCATAGAGGGGGAGGATCACCTCCTTGGACCTGCTCATGATACATCTATAGATGCATGACAAAGTGCGGTTGGCTTCCTGACCATGTCCTCACATTGGCGGCATATGTTCATTTTGGAATCAATAATGACTCCAAGATTCTTTTCTGCCTCTGTGCTGATGAGAAGGGAGTTCCCCAGCCTGTAGGTATGCTGCTGGTTCTTCCTCCCCAGGTGCAGTACCTTGCACTCATCAGTATTGAAACCCATCCTATTCTCATCCGCCCACCCCTGTAACCTGTCCAGATCTAGTTGTAACCTGTTCCTCCCTTCTAACATACCCACTTCTCCCCACATCTTAATATTATCCATGAACTTGAACAAGGTGCTTTTCACCCTCTCGCCCAAGTCACTGATGAAGATGTTAAACAGTGCCAGCCCGAGGACTGAGCCCTGGGGAACCCCATTGCCCACATCCCTCCAGGTCAAAAATGACCCATCCACCACCACTCTCTGGGTGCGGCCCTCCAGCCAATTTGTGACCCATCTGACAGTGTGGGCATCGACACCATAGTCGCTTAATTTTTTTATGAGAATGGGGTGAGAGACATTGTCGAAGGCCTTCCTAAAGTCAAGAAAGACATCCACTGCAACACCTGCATCCAAGGATTTTGTGACCTGGTCATAGAAGGACACCAGGTTGGTCTGACAAGACCTGCCTCTAATGAACCCATCTTGGTTGCCCCTAGGCATAATCTCCCCTACTTGTCCCTCACAGATGTGTTTTTGGATAATTTTCTCAAAGAGCTTCCCCAGGACTGAGGTAAGACTAATGGGCCTATAGTTTCCTGGGTCCTCCTTCCTTCCTACATGTGTATTATATTTTTCCTGACCATTCATATAATCCACTTTATTGAATGAAAAAGGTGAATTTCAAAGACAAAGTCTTCACTGCTGGTCGTCACTGTTTTACAATGAAATAACAAATTTGAGAACATTATCTCACTGTACCATCCCAATGCAGACAAGGTACAGCTAGTTTTCACATCAATGGACACTTTTACATGTGCTCTGGTGGAGCGGGGGGGCACTTTCATTAGAGGGGCTCTGAGAGCCCCTCTAATGAAAGTGCCACAGTGTCTCATGTGTCATCATCCCCATGCTTCAAAATGGAGGGGAGGGGAGGGGAGGGGAAGAGCGCTTAAACTAAAGATCATTTGACAATCTTTAGATCCAGTGGCCCTGTTGCCATTTTGAAGCACCAGGATGCTGATATACACACACCAGAGACTGTTGGAGCATGATTAATTGAGTCTGCTCTGATGTACTGTAATTATAGTGCATCGAAGCAGCCTCCCAGCACATCTACAGGCGCCCAATGTGATTAATCAAGTTAATCCTTGATGGTGACTAAAACGTTTATCTGTGACTAGCTAAACTAAGGTAAAAAACTGCTCTGCCTTGCATACACTAAGTTTTTTATTTATAGTTATTGTAGTGTTGCTCAAGGTCATATTTTTTCAACAGCAAAGAATAGCCACATTGTGCTAATTTAGGAAGAATATTGTTTCTACTTGCAATGAGACATTTCATTTACTTGGTTTTGTTAAAAGATAAAGTGAGACTTCATTAGGCCAAGCCCTGAATGCTATACAAGTAGTTCAGTTCAGTACAAACTTCCAGTACATTTCTGCAGTTTTTTTCAAGACAGATATAGCTTGTTTTAAGGAACTTACCTTGCTCTGAACAATCCAGGGAATACAGAAGATGCGTAGCCCCAGCCTGGGTGGTTTTGATTTCATCATTACTCATGACTGGTAGAGAAACCTTTTGTGCTGGCAGCAAAGCACTAAGGGGGAAAAACAATGAAAATAAATTGTGGTTCAAGGTTTATAGGAAGAAATAAGTGTGTTCATGTGAGGAATGGCTGGAGTGTGGGCTATCACTCTTAAAGTGAATGACAGACAAGTTGCTGCTCTTATGTTTAATTACTTGTTTGATCATGCACAATAAATGAATGCAAGGGGCTCCAAAGGAAAACATTGGCAGAGAGTGAATTGATATGTACCACACTGGCTGCGTCTACACAAGACATTCTACTGCACATTAGACTAGTCTAATGCACAGTAAGGAATCACTGTCTACATGTATGCAGCAATTACTGTGCAGTAGATTACTCTAATGCACCATTTTCTAGTACCTGTAGATATAGGTACTAGAAATCAGCACATTAAACTAATGTGCCAAAGCACTCATGTAAATGTTGACCAGAAGCAAATTGCTCCTAGTCAGCCTAGGCAGCTGGGGGCCACAGGGTGGTGGGGAGAGCTATAGGGACAGCTCTCCCCCGCCCCATGGAGATCAGGACCAGTCCCCATGCCCCCTGCCAGCCTGGGCCTGGTACCCCGGGGAGCCTAGAGCTCTCTCTGACTGCTGCAGGGGGGATCAGGCAGGGCAGGAGCAGCCCTAAACTGAACTGATCCTGACAGGAGCAAATTTGCTCCCAGCAGGCAGATATTCATATGCCTGCAGAGGTCCAGTTTAATGTACCTGTATTTTCTGCGCAGAAAATTCAAGCACATTAATTGCACATGCAGACACACCTATTGCATGCTCATTGGATTCATCTTCATTTATCAGTTTTACAAAAAATAAATATATACACTACTAAAATAATCAAAACAAACCTGGTAATGCATTGTGCAAGGGGCAATTTCTTCCTCATAGACACCGAGTAAATAAAAATCAAGACAGGGAAGATTGGAGGAGGGGAGGAGGGTGGGGGGATGACAAAAAGGCAAGGAAATGGAAGGAAGATGTGTCATTATCCCATGCTATTTAATTTTTTTCTAAAAAAAATATGCAGATACAAGGGAAATGAGGGACTTTGTAAATCTTAGAAAAGAAAAAAGTGTTAATTAGGTTCATTATATTACAGAGGAAGTTATTTACAAAGTTATCTAGTCAATTCTTACAGGATTACGAGTCTGATTCAAAAAACTACTGAAGACTTTGGGGGTCTTTCCATCACATTCAGGTAGTATTGGATCAGGGCTCCTATGTTTTGCATGTGTAATGATGGTGGTAATTTTGGAGTGGGAGCAAAAGATACCAAAGTTTGTTTAATGGGGAGAAGGTGGGGTCGGGGGTGGGGAGAGGAGGAGAGGAAGGAAAAAGTTGTCTGAAAAGCATGGAAGAAAGGCTTTTCTTCAGTTGTTGTTATGGACAATTCCTTTCTATTTACCTATGATAGTGATAGCTGCATACTTGACTAAGACTCAAAACAGTTGATCCCAGGTGACCACGCAACCCTTATTTTAAAAAGTGAAGTAACCACAGATAAGACCAATTATCACTGAAAGTCAAGATTCCATCCAGGAAGAGCACACACCAACTGCTGCAGCTTCCTTAGCCTGACGAAGGGTTTTTGAACCCTAAAGCTTGCTTAATAACTATTCTCCAACCATTTGGGTTGGTCTAATAAAAGATATCAAATTCACCCAAGGAACCTTGTCTGCAAGATGTTATCCATTGTCTTAAGAGACCTTTGAGTATGAAACCCTATGGCACTGTTCTAAAAATATCAAGTTTTGCTTTTAAACTAAGTCTCTCTCTGTTGAAAGAGAGGCAAATCCATTGTGCCATATTCCTACCTGCTTGTGTTCTGGAGAAAAGCAAACATGTCTTTCATTTTTATGCTAGCTTGAACCACATCTGGGGCCATCAAGAGGAAATGCCACAGAGAGGTTTCATTCTGCACTTGCGAGATGAGTGATAAAAATGAAACCATTTCTTTGACAAATGTTTCCTGGTATTGAGGGTCATGCTGCACCTTAAAAATAAAAATAAGATGTGTCACTTACAGAGTAAAGAAGTAATAATTTTTTTTTTAAACTAGCTGCACCACATCACCAAGATATTCACAGTATGAATACAGAAAGAATTTTTCACTGGTCCTTCACATCATCCTAAAAAATACATTTTTGAAACTATTACTGGGAATATAATGTCCTGAATATGTGAACCTAAGGTCCTCTGTAACTACAATCTATCATGAGTCATGGGCTATGAATAGCCACATAGCTGCAAGAGCAAACCAGGGACAGAATTGTGACTCTGAGGCCATGCCTATACCACCTTTCTACCCAGCAATAGGTCCCACCAACTCATTCTCACTCCGTGTGTGCCTAAGCCTGGCAATTAGGCAGTGCCATGGCTTAAAGGGTCACCAAATTTGCAACCTATCACCACTCTGACACTGCCTCAGGAGGACCTGATAATGACACTGGGGCACATGCTCAAGGTCTCTCTCAGCCATCCATACTTTCTTCTTCCTCTCTGCTCCATGGGGAAGCAAGGTGTCTCAATCCATTGCTTGGCATCGCTCAATACCTCCTCTGTCCCAGCTCACTGGTATTGATAGTGCTTTTAGGGGCTGGAACCAGTCCCTGTTTATTACTGCCACCTTATTGGCAATAGTTCTCCTCTCACTCAGGATCTGGCAATACAGGCAAGCAAGAATGCTCTTTGAATCCCTGAGAAGGTATTTAGCTAGGCTCACAGTTGTATCAAAAGGCCACATTCATCTCAACTGTAAAGCCACTGAAATGGATGGATTTACTCCCTGAATGAATTTGGCCTCTTCATCTAAATCCAGTTTCCACATACTGTTTAAGTTGTTACAAGACTTGGAGTGGATCCAGTTACACCTAATATTTGTTGTAGTGCATGACTAAGGAACCTCATGTGGTTGAACAACGTGCTCTCCTTCATGAAATTACCTTCCCGGGTTCCCATTCATGGATTCAGGACAATAAGATACAACCCTCAGGTTCACAGGTTCAAGGTGAAATGACAGGTAACAAAACAGAAACCAAAGGAACACTGAGAAAAAAAAGGTAAATTCTCTTCTTGTGCAAACATATAGCATGTCACTGAAATCAGTGAACTTTACATCAGCAGTGCATTTACCTCTCACTGAGCTCAGACTCCCTTATATACTAGTGCTGATGCATGAAGGCCTCAGATATCTCAGTTAACCAGTTTTTAATGGTTCTGAGTCCGTGTAGCACTGGCACATGACTCCATGAGGCAACACATTCAGACAACTTCAGTCATGAGGGAGAAATGAGGCGGGTAGCTAAACTTGCTTTTTATAGAGGGCTGGTCTGTATGGGGAAACAGACCAGAATCAGAATAGCTATTGTGGAATACTCCCTGACGGGACACTTACTCTGTCCCAATTCCCTTTTCCCAGCATAGCTTAATTCACTGTGAAAGTGGACTTAACTAACCTGCAAAAATCCACTCAGAGAGGAACAAAGGATACACACAGGGGGGGGGGTCTTATACTTTACATTCATAGCATTTTCTACTTCAAACTAAAATGTTCTTTGTATAAAAGCCATGATAAGACTGAGAACAATCTATTTACTATAGAAATCTAAATACAAAGATCCTTATCCTGCAAAAGAGAGTATACCCCCTTGTTTAAGATATGACAGCTTTACACAACAAAGTACATGACTTCTTGAAAGAGACGTGGTACTTCAACCACAAGTTAGTGGGCTTATTGAAGAAATTACTGGATACATTTCTATAATCTATTATGCCAAAAGTGAAATTAGGTGATCTTAATGGTCCCATGTCACCTTAACATCTATGTATTTAGCTAGGGTGACCATATTATGGTTAAGAGAATCCGGGGTGGGGTAAGAGAATCCAAGATGGGGGGCACCACCACCATGTGATTTTACATGTACACACATGCACGGACACACTCCAACCCCACAGCTTCCAGGAGCCCTGATGGCAGGGCAGGGCAGGGCAGTGTGGAGGCCTATGGCCAGGATCCATCCTCTGCGTGCAGAGGCTGGACCTGGCTGGGAGTGGCACCTCCCCCTCAACACCAGCAACTGCCCGGGGCTGCCACGCACAGCCCAGGCCTCAGGAACAGCCATTGTAGGAAGGCACGAGGGTGCCAGTGGTGGGTAGCCATCTTATCTCACCCCATGCAGGTGCCTGAGCTTTCCCCTAGCCTGCCCTGCCCTGGCCAATCCTCACCCCAGGCAGGAAGAGCAGTGCCCAACCCAGCTCACCCCCCTGCCTCTAGCCACTGCTCAGTAGGAAACAGGCTGGGCACCGTGGGTGGCAGCAGCTGCTGCCTGCAACAACCATGTCTGGGACTTTTGCTTCAATTTACACCAACCGGTCAGGACACTGGGACAGCCTACAAAATCAGGGACTGTCCCAGGCAATCCAGGACATATGGTCACCGTATACTTAGCAGTCCATATTTTCAATGTTCACCATAGCTGTCACTATGGAAAGGCAAATAGCAAAAGGAAACATAACATACTTATGGTGCGATTTTTAAAACCAGAGTCAGTTATATGTCCGACTTCCATTGGCTTTTAATGTGAGGGAAGTGCTTATCTCTATTAGGTGGCTTAGAAAACCCACTTCCATACACTTTTAGATTAGCCACATAGTTAGAGTGTAAACTCTTTGGGGCAGGGACCTCTTTCTTGTTCCATTTGTACTATGCCTAGCACAATAGGTCCTGCTCCACCACTGAAGCTCCCAGGCAGTTTCTGCAACACAACGTAACAACAGCAATCCTTAATATTGCCATGGAGAAGAGAGGAGATGGATACATACCTGAGATACTTGACTTTTGAATTCTTGGAAAAATGACTCCAAAAGAGATGAGTTGGTAAAGCAAAATGTCCTGTGAATGTTTCTTGTCATGTTTCTCTCAGGGAGATTGTAAGAGGCTATATACGATGACAGAATCTTGCACATAATCATTTTGAGATTTGCTGCACTTGAATCTTGTTTGTGACTCTAAAATGAAATTTTTCATTAGCAGTGCTTTAAAAAATATTTTGTCTGGTGATTTTAACTACTCCAACTAGGTGAGGAATCATTATCGGAGGTAATTTAAGTATACATAAACCCTAGCATAATGATACATATTAAATACTAAAAAAAGCTTTTGTTCCAAGTTAACTCGGAGAGGAGTTTCTCATATCTCTAAATGAATACTCTAGCTCTTCAACCTTTAAATACAGAGGTAACAAGTATTAGAGATTCCTTTGTGTGGTAGCTTTCAGTAAGTGCTGATTTTGATGGCAATGACCATGGTGACCATAATCTTTAGTTTAGTTTGAAAAAAGACACACTTTTTACCAAAGACACATCCATATTTTGAATATGCAGAGGTGTCCTATGCTAAAATATTGGGTGTCTGGTATGTTGGCATTTAGTAGTCTGTGGGTGCATCTACATGTGCATATTAACACAAAGCAATAACTTTGGCACTTATTGCTCTGGAGTTTATTGCTCTGGGCATGCCATTTCCACATGCAACCAGGACCGCAGCATGTTGAACTGGTTTGGAGCAGCCCCAGCTGGCAGGAGGCCTTGGGGGTCAGCCCAGGGTGGCTTCCCCTGGCTCAACATGCTGCAGAGGGGCTGGCCGGGGCCCTCATTCCCCACACTGAAGCACCCTCATGCCCCAGTCAGCTGGGGCACTGTCTACACATGTCTTATGTATTAAGTAAATGCAAGTATTATTCTGCTGTGGAGTAAATTAGTTTACTCCAGTGTAATAGGCGCACACATGTAGATGCACGGCATTTACTGCAAAGCTAATTACTGTTCACTGGGGAAGGGAAAATGGTGATCAGCGGCAAACAGCCTGGCCAGTAGGGTCCCTCCACCAAATCAAGGATGGAGAGCCAAGTAGTGAAATGAGAAGCATTACAGGAGCCACTCCAGGTAGCATTTTCAGTGCGATTTATGGAGGTTCTTATTCATAATCCCTTTGAAACTCATCACTGCTATGTTTCGAAATTAAAAAACTGATTCTATTTCTGGAAAAAGAGTCTCAACTTTCAGCTTGAATAAACTGTAATAGTAACACTGAAGTCAATTTACATCATCTGAAGGCCTGCTTACAACGCTACCATTTTAAAAAGGAAAAATTAAATCCATTCAACTGCACCTCATGCAACACTTACCTCTCCCAAAGTGAAGATTTTGTTGGACGTGTTACTTCTGGAAGTCAAATTGAATGCTGAGGAAGCATCTTCAAAAATTCTTTTCAAGTGATCTATATGCTCCAGTAGTGCTGTAACAATAAAGACATTTTAGACATTGTAATTTACTTAATATTCCAAAACCAATTAGATCATAAGTTTCCATCTGTTGAATAAAGTATGTCATGAAAGGGTATTGCATGGGACATTACTAGTCCATCTTCTAAGGTGTGGCTACTGACATGCCAAAATCATTCACTATATATATAAGACAGGGAACGTCCAGCTTTCCCCGGGCCATGGGCCACAATGTACTAGTAATGCACTGAGGGCAGTCTCTTACTTTTCCTTTCTGTATCTGTGACAGGCAAAATTTCTGTAGTTATGAGCAGCTGCCAATATTTTCACTGGCAAAATATTGGCATTACCATGACCATCTGTGGTTACTAGAAATGGGAGAATACAGCTAAAAATCTGATCATTGTCCAACCTAGTTTGCATTCCCATCCATTTTGATTCCCTTCTTGCAAATATTTTAGAAACACTAACTGAAGCAGTGAATATTTACTGTCCATTACAAAATATTCACAGACCACTTGTTTTGGTCATAAGGCAGGGGTAATCCCCTGGAAGCAGTGACCATCTGCCCTGAGGGTACAGGAAAATCCAAGTACATAGTTGGCATTATCATAACTAAATAACTGTGACACTTTGTACTGGAAATCCAGGACCTAAAGTTATACTTCTTTAATCAGGTAAGTGAAACACATCTGGTGAAAACAGCTCAAATAATTAATATCTGCAATGCTGAAAATGAACTACAAATAAATGATTATGCAGGGAAGTTATCCATCAAATGACTTTGAATAAGAAATGAATTTGAGAAAAAATTGTGAACAATTTGTGGAGAGAGAAAGCAAGGGCAAAATTCATAAAATATATTTTGTTTAAAATGCTTGACTGACCAAAGAGTCAAAGATTTCATAGCATTTTTTTAAAAACTACACTTGTAAAACCTGGTTTCTTGGCCTAATCCAACATTGGATTAATTCCTAGGAGTGTCTGAGCTTCGATCCTTAAGCAGGTAAGAATTTTTTGAGTTTTAATTATTGCCGAGAGTTTAAAACAAAATCATTACTTACTCCAGGAACCATAAAGAACATATCAGTCATTAAAACTGTGCTCTTCTAGGATTTGTATCTCTGTCCAGAGAGTTTTAAAAGATCAACCTTTAAAAGAACTAATCTTTATAAGCAACAGGAAGAGAAACTCTCATTGAATTGAATAACCTACTGTAACGGGGTCCAAGCCCCATTACTGAGGGGTGGAGGGAGCCCTGAGTCTGCCAGCCAGCCCCATCCTCTGAACAGACTCATACTGGCAAAGGGAGCTTTAAATAAAACGGCTGCCCACCCCAGGTGCAGATAGGATTTGGCAGGCTGGGAACAGAGACAGAGGGTCAGGTGAACCAAGGAGAAGCTCATAAGCCCAGGACCTGGTTCAGAAGAGTGAATGTGGCCATAGAGGCCGTGAGAGGCAGAGCTCCCAGGGAGAGCCTGCCTGGGTTGCCTACAGAGGAAAGATCCTGTGCCTTAGGAGGGTGGAGGGAACCCTGCACCTGGTCCAGCAAGATTTAAGTACCTCTAACCTTTGTGTTGTTGCTACTGCAGGGGGAGATTAACCCCGACAGGGAAGCACTGTGTTTTGGTAGCATTGTTTTGAGAACAGATGCTCATATTTTTTATTCATTTTTACACCAGAGGACTGAAGTGGCTGTAAGGGGTGGAATAAACACCACTGGGGTGTGGCAGAGGCACCCAGTTCAGAGTGCGCCCAGGGCCCACAACCCTGGGCCAGTGATTATGGGCAGAAGGCCAAACACATTTCAGAAGTAGGATAGCGGTGTGTCAGCCGACTGGGTATCTGACAACAAGGACCAGGGGGAGCATAACCCCCATGCCCCCAAGGGATGTGTCTGGGGGCCAAGTGACCAAAAACCTGCAGGAGGGCTGGAGCTGAAGCCCGAGAACCTAGGGTCCTGGTGCAGCAGATCCCATGCCATGGGACCCAGCCAAAGCAAAAGCGAGCTGAGGCCAGGAAGGGCCTTGGTTCAGGCAAGGACCTACCCCAAAACCCACATCTGCCTCCTGAGTACAGCCTCCCCACAAAACTATAACATTAAGTCATAGCAGGAAAGATAACCATTTGATGGGGAAAGGACCCAGAGAGTCTGGAAGCAAGGGTGAGGAGACTGGAACAAGTGACTGGGGACCCTGTCATGGTCAGCACCATATGTACTGTTTCACCTACCCAATGAAGCATTCCTGATTTTTGGAGCCTCAGCACTCTGAGGTGACGGATGACTGTCCTTCCCCAGGTTAGCTGACCTGCTCTGCTTCCTGATGAGAAAAAGAACAGAAGAGTCCTGTAACTCCATATACAATGGTCATTACAGAATATACATTAAACTAGAGGTAGCTCAGGTAACAGAATTTGAAGACATTTAATGAAGAAGAGAGTTACAGGTGAGTTACAATGAACCAAGAATCTGGGGGCTCTCAAAGGGTTGTCAAAGAGCTGGAAACCCTAATTTCCCCATTGTGTGTCAAGAGCACTGTCCAGAAGCCAGGCAGATGAGTAGCTAGGAAACAAGTATATTCTGAAACCTGCCTGGAAGGCCAAGACCCCTACTCAGGTTCCCTTGGACCTTCATGGAAAATAAGCCATGTCCATGAAGCATTTCAAAGTTTAATAAATCAGCACTCTCCAACTGAAAAATGTTTTGTCAGAGTTTAGATTGCAAGCTTTTCACAGAAAGAACTGTCTCTTAGTAAATAATTGTATAACGACCAGCTACACTGGGCTTTGGATTTGGTTGAGGCCTGCGGGTATAAAGTCTGGTATAAATAAGATAAATCTCTCTGGCACAAGTTTCTCTCACAACTATAATGTTTTGATAATGATTCCCAATGTCACCCTAGCTATTTTGGACCAGATCATATAATGATGTAACTCAGCAAAGCTGCATTAATATCAAAGGTTTTATACTAGCTGAGGGATCTAACCAACCCTTTCCATAAGGTACCTCACCATTTCATGCTATGAGATCTGGCTTACCAGAATAATCTCTCAAGGGATTCCCAGCTCCATTTAGCATGCAAGAAGTATAATATTCTCTTATAATGGAAAGCATCAGATAACTGAAATGTCACTGCCAACTCTCTATAATCATTTTATTACAAACATCTTTAAAGGTCACAGAGGACAATTAGTATATTATTACATGGGATTTGGGACCAGTCCACCACCAACCTAAAATTCTGCACATAAACTATACTCATTACAATTCCCTGTACCTCAGTGAAAACCTGCAGTTTATAACAAACATGCACATTTGTATTCCCTTACCGTCTGGGAGGTGAGATGCCATTAAAATTTGGTAGCAGATCTTCAGGTGTGTAGGGTGTGCTCTTACACCTGGCATCTGAATCACAGAGCACAGTTTGTAGAAATGGGAGAAAACCTGCACTAGGAAGGTTCCGAGGAGCAAGAAAACCTGGAAAAAATGAAATGTAAAATGCAATAACTGGGTACATACACGCATACTAACTTTCTGCAAGCTAAGCTGGCTTAACTTTAAATCGACTTAACTGTCAGAGCATACACACGTATGTGGAGCAGAGTCAACTTAAATGTGGTCACATTAGTTAAGTCAACTTAGCTCACAAGATGGCTACCACCATGTCAACAAGCTGTACATGTGTATGCTCCAACATGGTTTAGCTTAAGTCAACTTAGTTAAGTCGCCTTATTTTAGGTCCACTTAGTACATATGTATGCACACATTGAGGCTAAGTACAGATGTTCAAAAAGCCCCTGGCAGAAATGCTCTAACTCTTGCGCTTTACTTAAAGTGCTGTAAGTTAGACAGTGAGTGAACCAAACAGACATTCACTGTTTGGTGGAGGGGCTTGGAGCCTGCCTGCACTGGCCACTGGGAGCACTCCTGCTCTCCTCCCAGGACGATGCCAGAGTTGTCCCTCTTCCCAGCCCTGCCCTCACCCCCGAGCTGGTGACTGTCAGCAGTGGCTGTGGGAGGAGAGACCCTGGATCCCTTCCCCCACAGCCTCCCCAGCCAGGCAGCAGAGCACTGTGGGGCCAGGGCTGCTGTGGGGAGAGAGACCCTGGACACCTTCCCCCATGGTTCCCTGGCTGGGCAGCCCTCCAGCAAGCCCAGGGGGGTTTCAGGGGAAAGGGGTCTCGGCTCTGTGTCCCTGCAGTAGCCCTGGTCCCACAGTATGCCACTGCCTGTCTAGGGCTGCTGTGGGGACACAGACCCCAGATTCCTTCCCCCA